CTCCAGACAGCTTGGGCAGTTTGAGTACATTTTTCTTTTTCTCTCAAGAGCCGTTCGGTTTGATGGTCTCACTGTGCCCTCCTTTAAGATTCTAGCTTCAGATTTTTCTGAACCCCCCATGGAAGGCCTCACCCTCCCTGGGGAGCAGAAGGGGGATAGGATGGGTGGGAGGGTTGGTGGGGATCATGGGAGGATGTGAGGCAGAGGGAACTGAGATTGATGTATAAAATAAGATTGTTTCTAATTTAAATAAATTAATAATAAAAACAACAACGTTAAAAAAATTAGCTTCAGCAGCTGGAAAATTGAGCTTCAATACTGGAGCCTTTGGAGGACAATTAAATCAGGTACATGCTACAACAATTAGTTATGATGCTATTCCTGGCTAAAAGACATTGAAAGCCTGAGAATGTTGACTTCCTTTTTACCAATATCTGTTGGGAACATTCTGTGGATTGACCTTTAGCTGGTGAGAGTTCATTATCTCCCATCTGCCCCCTAGAATTATTTGGCCTTAATTACATCGTTTTCTTTCACCAGATCACTAAGTGTTCCCTGTTTTTATTTGCACTTCAGTTACTCTCAGAACTTCATGGATCCAGACTCCAAACGGGCTTCTGTTTCTGTGCCAGTGTTTGTGTTTGGTTCATAGCTCCTCTCAGTCTCACAGCAGGGCGGTAATTTGGAAGCAGGGTGCTACAGAAGTGTGAGGCCCAAGAGAGGTTGTGTTGCCCTTTTGAGAAGCTTTCTCATGATCCTGGCTCTTTAGTTTCCCTTTCCTTTGAGTGCTTGACTGGGACTTAAAGTGGAAGAACTGCCTTGTGAGAGAGAGCAGCCAGGGGATACAGGTTACTTTCTGTCAGGGAGTATTTACAAGGTTAGGGATCAGAGAAGCCTGGGGTTACTATGGGCTTTGATACACAACCACAGGTGTATGGCAGCAGAGGATCAGATATCCCCTTTGCCACAGGCAAGAAAGGATAATGAAAGTGGGTCCCTTTGGCAACAGAAAACCCTGTTCACAGGTTCCAATGGAAAGCTACCAGTCTCTCCACCAGCAATAGTCCAGCTTGAGCCTGATCAAGACTGTCATTTGGGCAAGGCCATTGACTCTGCTGTCTTTGGATGTTTGTGGATTTTCCCTTTGGACCTAACAGTTGTTGTATGTAAACATTCTGCTTGCTTTGTCCATCTTTCCCTTTCTTCCACCCACCTCCTGGTTTCTTTTCTTCTCCATCTTTCTCGTGTTTTCTTCTTTCCCTTACTCCTCATTTCTTTTCTCTTCTAGTCTGTCTTTATTTTGTAGCTCAATCAACTGTTTTCATTATTTAATTGCAATAAACAATCAGCTTCCGGATAGTAGCGATAGCAGACTCCCAGCTCCATCTAACACTGTTCCCTACTTCCCAAAGTCTCCATTCACTACAAAAACTCACTCGGTGACTCTATGTTCCTTATCACTATGCTTTTCAATAATGTGAGTACATTGATGGTTCCTGTTCTTGTAATTTTAGTCATTATATGCTGATTTCCTAACACAAAGATTTCCAACATACACATACGTACATACCTGCATAACTGTGCACATATGCATGCACCCACAGAGGTACACACACATGAACACACACAGACTGGATAACACTAACATTAATGTTTGCATGAATAACTGAAAACTATTCCCTAACCATGTTGAGATATCAAAAAACTAGCAGAAGCTGGGCATGGTGGTGCATGCATGTAATCCCAGCCCTCCAGATGTTAAGGCAGAAGGAATGTGAGTTCAAATTTTAACTTACATTATATAGTGACTTCCTGAAAAAGGGACCTAATGATGTTAATTTCCAATAAGTAGTCATGACATGCTCAGTATATATTTATTAGGTAAAATCCTTACTTACAGAGATCACTAGCCAACCAGCAGGAAAGCAGAGCAAGCTGAAGCAGCAAGGAAGAGAGGGGGCTACCATGTGAGTTGCCTAACTCTTTAAACTTCTCCCATGTCACCCTGACATCACCTTGACCACCCCCTGACTAGTGTCTTCAGGCACACCCTGAGCCAGCCCTTATGAGGCATGGTTATGGTGTCTCCCTCCAGTGGACCATTTTACATCACACACACACACACACACACACACACACACACACACCCGTAAAAATTCCTAAGGCTCACAAATTTTTATGTCAAAAGCCCCTACCCTGTCTCACCACCTTGCCCTACAAGGTCTGTATCACAAATCCTCCAGGAACTCTCTTATGAAAGTCCCTCATTTGCCACATACCTGAGATCACTGAGTTTTTAGAAAACATGTCACTGTATAGTTTTAAGTAGCATTGAAACATTGTTCATGCTACTTAAAACTATACAGTGACATGTTTTCTAAAAACTCTAAAAATTGAAACATTGTTCATGCAATAGGCATTTCTTTCATTTCATTTTTGTTCATTAGATTTTAAACATCATTATTCATTAGATTTTAAACTACCTGTTTACATTACAATTTTCTTAACCAGTACAGATTTTGAACTATGGAAATAAAATGATCCTTGTTATGTTTGTTGTAATGACTTGTTTTCTTGATTATAGTTTATCCTTTGATGTCATTACTTCATCTAATCTCACTTACTTAAAGGTTCTATTTCAAACGTAGTTACATCGGTGTCAGGTCCAAAGGAAGCTCCAATTCCCTAAGGTCTAAAAGGTGGTTCATCTATCGAGAAATGGATGGGGAGGGGGGATGGATTTGTAAATATGAGTAGCAATTAAAGAATTAAAATTAAAAAAATTAAAAAAGAAATGAGCTCAACCTGTACTATTGGAGGGTTTCTGGTGGTTAGATAAAATACAGAATTCCTCAGGAACTTGTGAAACCAGTTCCTATCTGCTAAAAGGAGTCATTTCCCTCACCTGGCAGGAGGGACATAGGGCTGCCCATGGCACCATCAGCCCCTGCTGGCCTCTAAGCTCCGTCAGTATCACAGTACCTGTTATATATTTCAATGTCCATGCTGACATCCTAGCCCTTCTCACCTCCTCTTCTTCTCTAAATCCCTTCCAGATTACAGGGTTCCCTCCTGTTGGCTGTTCATCCTTCTTATAACATGGGATTCCCATTATTCTCTGCTCTTACTATTCTTGCTCTATCTATCTATCTATCTATATATCTATCTCTCTATCTATCTATCTGTATTTCTATTTATCTACTTATTCTCTCTTATTCCCTTACTCCCTCTTGGTTCATTTGCTGTGTTATATCTGGATATCTCCTCTATTAATTCCTGCTCTCCCATTTCCCTAGTGCTGGCCATGGGCAGTCTTTGTCCTTCTCTCTCTCTCTGCTTTAGATTCTTCCAGATATCTTTATCTGTGCTCTCTTTCTCTCCCTCATATCTATAATAAAAACCTTAACCCTACCAATAAGTGGTCATGTCATCAGTTCCTTTATTGTACCCCCTTGCATACCACCAGGGGCTAAAAAGTCAAGAGAGAAGAGAGACGTAAATTATTCTGCAACAGTCCTGTGTGTTGTCTTGTCTTGTCTGTCAGGTTGTAAGATCCATGAAGTACACGGATGCAATCCAAGAGCCTAGAATGCAATTTCAAAGTGCCTAGTACATTGTACTCAGTAAACATTTACTGATGATATGAATGAATTCTTAATGAATGAAAGAAACAAATACTCTTGATGTTCTATCAGGAATAGAGGTCAATCTTCCCAATGTAACCTTATTTGTAAGTTTATCTTCTGCTTGGAACTGTAGAGAAGCCATTTTATTGTATCAAGTTCCCAGTCAAAGACTACTGGCCCTTCAGGAATCTCAAATTTTATGTTGAGGGAATTCCTTAGTGGATGGAGAAATGGCTCAGTGGTTAAAAGTGCTTCCTGCTATTACAGAGAACCAGTATTCTGTCCCTAACACTTACATCAGGTGTCTAACAACCAATCAACCAACTGTAATGCTGGCTCCAGGAAGACCAGAGCCCTTTCCTGGGCTCCACTGGCACTCACACACGCACAGGCATACCCAGAAACACACACACGTTTTTAAACTTTGAAAAAGAAGGTCCTCACTCCCGTTTTCTTTAATATCATCATGGCATACACTGGATAATGCATAATGGATAGAATTTATTTCCTCACAGTTCAGAAGGTCAGGACATAGGAGATGGAGGGAGTGCCTTTGTCAAGAGCAGTCCTGGTGAGCAATCTCAAAGAGAGCAAGAAGCAACTGCTGACTGACAAGCTGCCCCAAAAGACAGGTCCCAAGGAAGCCAGGTATATATAAGATGTCTTAAGGATTATTTGCCTCGGGATTGTCAGTGACCACGGCAAGTCATGACTGTCAGACCATTTCAGGCTCTGGAAAAAGCAAAGATCTAAAGTTTGTGCTTATGGATTCTGATCAATGATTTGGGTTACTAGTCACACTAGTTACTAGGTGCCAGGCATGATTCTAGAGCATTTCATACATTCACCCCCCCTAACCCTCCCATCATCATGATGATTTGGTAGCAGTAGGGTTCCCAATTCAGAACAGGAGAAACTAAAGCAGAGACAAACAGAGAGCCACAGCATAGAAATGCAGAGGGATGGGTATCGGATCCCAAGTTGGACATTGTGTGTCCAGTCATCCAACATCTGCATTTAGAATCCCTGCCACGCTATGGAGTGTGCACCTGTCACTGAAGGAAGGAACCTTCAGCTTAGTAAATGAGTCAGAGAAAAATCCCTGCCCAGGGAGTAGAAAATGCTCCTTGCAGTGGCCTGTGAGCCATAAGGGTGATGAGAGTGAGGATAGGCTATAGTGGCAACATAGGGCAGGATGCTGAGGTAAAGGTTTCCTTCTCCAGGTTGAATATCCTCTGTGTTGCAAATCTAAGACATCAATACTTCTGATTCACAGCACAAAGTTGGACACTGAGAGGGGTTGGCTCTTTTTCAACTAATTTGTTCATAAAAAGTGACATCAGTTTTACTTTCTGGTTTCAATTTCTCTTCTGTGGGGTCAGCTGCCAAGAAACAGGAAGAGAAACCAGCAGCCACTGTTATATATGGGTCAGTAGCACTTCATTAGAAGTCTGAGGACGAGATTGCCTGGAGCGAGCTGCAGCCTGCACTGAGCCCTTCAACACTGCTGGGAGTTGCACAGCAACCATGAGGTATGTCTTCCCTTGCTCTGGTGGTGAGGAGGTCAGCCCTGCTGATGGCTGCAAATCCTAAGCAGCCACAGTCCCACGAGAGGCTAGTTGTGTTTCTGTGTTTGTTTATTGCCTTGCCCACCTCTGTCCCTATAGCTGTAAGTATGTCATAGAGATAGATGCTCAGTTGCTTCCTCCAGATCTGCTTAGCTGGCAGCTGAGAACTGAGGTCAGAGACAGCTGTTTGATCTAGCAGGGACTTCCTGTAAAGATCCAGAAGAATTGCTCTTGTCAATTCTTTCTCTCTCTCTCTCTCTCTCTCTCTCTCTCTCTCTCTCTCCCTCTGTGTGTGTGTGTGTGTCTCCTTCTGGTTGCAAAATTAAATTGGGTGAATCTAATACAAATATTATTTAAGGGAATTGATCTTTTTAGATTACTTTATTGTTAAAGACATACTTAGACTACTAACCCTGCTTCCTGCACATCTGAATTTTACTTGTAGTTGCTGAATTAATCTCAGAAATACATGAAGCTTGCTAACTAAACACAGCACAGACAAGAAGGAAGGAGCTTGTCTCACTCACTGCCTTTCAGATCTATTTCCTTTCTGGTAACCCTAACTCTGGCCCAACAAAAAATGTGGGTGGTTGCAAGATGTAAGGTAAAAAGTCAAAGAGAGGAAATTAAAATAATAATATGAAAGTATTAATAATAATTTTAAAAAGCCAGGTGTTGGTGGCACATGGCTTTAATCCCAGCACTCGGGAGGCACAGGCAGGTGGATCTCTGTGAGTTTGAGACCAGACTGGTCTACAAGAGCTAGTTCCAGGACAGCCTCCAAAGCCACAGAGAAAACCTGTCTTGAAAACCAAAATTAAATAAATAGATGTATTAATAAGTCACCTGAGTGAGACAGCATCAATGCAAGAATTTCACCTGAAATGAAAGTTTGAGGTGTTGCTCACATATATAATGCAATTAATAGAGGAAATGTTGCAATGATGGTAAAATCCATAATGACTGAAAGTAAGATGCAAACAGATAAAATGAGCAGATGCTCAAAAGACTTTAGGATTATTTCAGATTGTCCATGTGTGTTTCAAATAAACATGTTTTTTCCTCACAAAACAAGGAAATGGACTCAGTCTACAAGTCCAACAATGATGAAGGAATAATGAAGATGTGGTACATACCATGGAATTTTTATTCAGCCATAAAAGAATAAGTAAAGGATTAGCCTCTCCCAGGGATGAGCTATCTGACTGGTTGCTTAGTGTTCAGCCCCCAAACCACACACACACACACAACAAAAGATGGACTCACAGACTGTATTTATAGATTTGTAAATATGTTTTGTATATATATATATACAGAAATATGTAACGATACTCAAAGAAAAAGAGGCTATTAATTGGAGAGGACCGAAGGGAGGAGACACATGAAGAGCTGGAGGGATAGAGGGAAGCGATGAGTTATATTTTAATTCAAATGTATTTCTAAGAGAACAAAATAGGGGCCTGGAGAGATGGCTCAGAGGTTAAGAGCACTGCTTGCTCTTCCAGAGATCCTGAGTTCAATTCCCTGCAACCACATGGTGGCTCACAAACATCTGTAATAAGCCCTCCTCTGGCCTGCAGGCATACATGCAGGCCGAACACTTTACACATAATAAATAAATAAATCTTTTTAAAAAAGGGAGAGAGAACAAAATGAAATCATGCGATTTGCAGGAAAATGGATGGAACTAGAAAATACCATAATAAGTAAGAAAATCCAGACCTACAGCCAGGTGTTGGTGGTGCCTGCCTTTAATCCCAGCACTCAGGAAGCAGAGGCGGGTGGATCTCTGTGAGTTCAAAGCCAGTCTGGTCTACAGAGTGAGTTCCAGGACAGGCTCCAAAGCAATGCAGAGAAACCCTGTCTCAAAAAATCGAAAAGACAAAAAAAGGAAAAAGAAAGAAAATCCAGATTCAAAACAGCAAGCATCAAACATTGCATGTTCTCTCTCATTTGTAAATCTTAGCTTTATATATTTTTATGTGAATGTGTATCAGGAAAATAGAAATGGGACCAGGATCAGGAGAAGACAGAAAATAGGCATTAAGGGCTGGAGTGATGTCTCAGGGGTTAAGAGCACTGACTGCTCTTCTAGAAATCCTGAGTTCAATTCCCAGCAACCACATGGTGGCTCACAAACATCCGTTATGAGATCTGGTGCCCTCTTCTGGTGTGCAGATATACATGGAAGCAGAATGTTGCATACATAATAAATAAATAAAATCATTTTAAAAAATCTTCAAAGTTTGAATAATAGGAAATAGAAAGCAATTAACTTTTAAAAGGGAAATGAAGGAGCTAAAGTGGATTTGAATTTCTAAGATAACAAAGAATTTAGACTCAGCACAATGAAATCTCAATAGCATACAAACATAGCTAAGATTTTTAAATCTTAATGGTATGTTAGAGGTTAAGAGTAAAGAAGTGATTAAATTACTATTTCTTAATTTACAAAAACCTTCATTAGCAATACTGGAGCTGTGCTGGAGTTCAAAGACCCTCCAAAGCAAAGGCAAGAGCTAGGAAATATAGACAGTCTCTCTAGGAAACCCTAACTGCATCTAGGACTGACTCACTTCCTTCTGTCAATTCTGCTGCCCAAATGAGCAAACTCTTGCTTCCCTATGCAGTAATTTTGACATGTGCCAAATATTGGAAGAAAGGAAAGTGTGTCCCTTGGTGAGGTTTAGATTAAGACTGTTAAGAAGGACAAGAATATTTGCTGTGATCCTACTCCTTGCCAGGCGAATGTGGGATGTCCTCAGATGACTGTTTCTTTATTTTTTTCTGTCCCACAGCACAACCACTAAGAAATCCTTGGAGAGCAAGCTACAGCAGCTAAAATGCCATTTCACCTGGAACTTGATGGCAGGAGACGAGTCATTGGATGAGTTTGAGGACAAGGTGTTTAACAAGGATGAGTTTCAGAACAGTGAGTGTAAAGCCACAATGTGCAACATATTGGCGTTTGTAAAGCACCGCAGAGGCCAAAATGCATCAGCACTGAAAGAGTTAGAGAAAGCTGAACAGTTCATCCAGCAACAGCATCCTGACCACGTAGAAATCAGAAATATAGTCACCTGGGGAAACTATGCTTGGGTTTACTATCACATGGGCCAACTCGAAAAAGCTCAGGCTTATCTTGACAAGGTGAGACAGGTCTGTGAGAAGTTTTCCAGTCCCTACAGGATTGAGAGTCCTGAGCTGGACTGTGAGGAAGGGTGGGCCCGACTGAAGTGTACCCGAAACCAAAATGAGAGAGTGAAGGTATGTTTTGAAAAGGCTCTGGAAAAGGACCCGAAGAACCCAGAATTCACCAGCGGCTGGGCCATCTCAAACTACCGTCTAGACTTCTGGCCAGCACAGCAGAATGCCGTCGACTCTCTGAAGCAAGCCATTAGAATGTCTCCCAACAGCCCTTATGTTAAAGTACTCTTGGCCCTGAAACTTGAGATGAATCAGGAAAACCAGGGAAAGGAACTGGTTGAAGAAGCCTTGAGGGAAGCCCCAGGTGAGACAGATGTACTCCGCAGTGCAGCCAGGTTTTATTATAAGACACATGATAAAGACAGAGCTATACAGTTGCTTAGCCAGGCTTTAGAACTCCTACCCAACAATGCCTATGTGTATTACTATATTGGGTGTTTCTATAGGTCAAAAGTCCTTCAAATAGATTCCAGAAGAGAAACTTCACAGAATGAGAATAGAGAGCAGTTACTGAAACAAGCAATTTATTACTTAAAGAAAGCAGAAGAGACCAAGGAGATGATCAAAGATTCCTGTAGCTACCTTGCTCATCTTTATGTCCTGGCAGAGCAGTACAAAGAAGCCGATTATTACTTCCAGAAAGGATTCAAGAAGGAACTCACTCCTGGCCTTAAACAGTTGCTCCACCTACGGTATGGCAATTTTCAGTTTTTTCAAATGAAGTGTGAAGACAAGGCCATCCACCAGTATCTTGAGGGTGTGAAAATAAGGCAGAAGACGAAGCCTAAAGAAAAGATGACAAACAAACTTAGATTGATTGCTGAAAGGAGACGTTCTCAAAATGGATTTGACTCCAAGGCCTTGCACATCTTGGCGTTTCTTCGGGAGTTGAATAAAGAAAGCCAGCAAGCTGCTAAAGACTCTGAGAGGGGACAGGACTCTGAGAGGCCTGTTTTTTCAGCGTCTTTGCATGAGGGGGGGAATGAAGTGTAGTAACCTGGTGCCCACGAGGCTACTGCTGGAAGGAAACTAGAAACCCTTACCAAGTAGCCATTCGGAATACTTAACAACTTCATGGAATAAGCATGTCCTAACAGGCTGACTGTAGTATTTATCAGGGTTGCTGGGAACCCTGTGATCAGATGTTGGCACCTAAATCTCTGGATCACGTAGGGGTCTCAGAAAGAGGCCAGTTGGAGGCACAGATACAGAGGCCTGGCAAACAGTCTAGATCTCTTTCTATTTCTTAGAGATAGTTTCCATGGTAGCAAATTTTCAATCCCCCTCTGTGGATTTGTTGTCTTGGGTTTGTTTCTGTATTTATGTAAAGCACTCAAATTCCTCCTATGGGTGAGTTTCCATCCTTGAGTTATTGCTGATATGGCACAGCCTTGTTCTACATAATAACAGTGTCCATCAAAAAACTGAGCAGTGGCTCAGGACAATAATCCCAGCACTTGGCAGCTGAGACAGGAGGATTACAGTGAGTTAGAGGTCAGCCTGAGCATGACCTGGAAAGGGGGTGAAGGGTGTTGAGAATTAGACATGTAAATATTAAATGATTATGTACGTTGCTTGTTAGTTTGGATATGTATATGCCTTTATAACCACTATCATCATATGTTTATAAAACCCAGAAGGTAGTGATTTTGTTTTACTGCATAATTTTGAAATTTACAAAATAGTGCTCAATATTAATTGAGCTCAAAATAGAAACTCAATAGTGAGTTCCAGGTCTAAAAACAAACAAACCATAACAAAAGCTGAGGGACCAAATCAATCCTCCCTCCAATTGCCCAGCCAGTCCTCAATCTACCGTGTCCCATAAACATGAGTTCAATTGTTCCATTAACTCAGATGGCAATATAACTGGAAAAACTGAGACCAGAGAAAGTTAGAAGGGCAGGACATATCTGTGTAAAGCAGGAGAGTCAATGCCAGACTTCCATGAGGCACACGGGGGGACTTCTCCCCGACTCTGCTCTGCCTGTGAGTATGATGCTCCATGCAAATAAGGGGCATTCTGTCTACCATAGTGACAAATGACATAAATATTTATTCCAAACTTGTGTGGAAACTCCTGTGAGACAAAGAGAATGCTGATTTACCCTTGACAATTTTAAACCCACGAGGACAAAGTTTATAGTCACTATTAGTCAAATGAATACTTCCTTTATCAAAAAGCTATGATGAACCCATATGACAGACACTAGGAAGGCCACCAGATGGGAGAATAACTTGGTGACTGACGGCCTGGTGGAAGGACTTAGAAAATGGAATGGGTATTGGAGGGTGAAGTTTTTCCTCCATTATAAATATTGCATAGTAAGAGACATAAAGACTTCTTGGAACTCTGAAAAAATACTCAGGAACATCACAAAATTGACAATTGACATTTCCTAGGTAATCCTTGAATGGAATAAACTTTAGGGTTGGTGTGAAGCAGCATCGAGTCAATGAGCCCAGTATGAGGCTCTCAGTCACCCTCTGGAGTGGAAAATGTTTCTCTATTAGGATTAGTTTGCCTTTATGTAAATAGGAACATTTTATTCAGCAATTCAAATATATTAGATTTGTAGACTGTTAAAATGAACATTCTGACCACTGGAACAATGTTCCATGTTATTTTAAATGTTAAAAAATTTTGTATGCATTTAAGTCCATCAGTTTTTAGCATTTGAATTTCTGGAAAAATACTCAGCTTTGTTCATAAATAACATGAGGTAGAACATTAAGCAGTGCTCTGGTTCAATAAAAATTTTACTGTACTCTCACTGTCTTAGACTCAAGTATGACAAGAAAGAGTAGCAAAATTTTTTTCGCAGCCTTGAGTGTCTGTCTGTTCTTTTTATATTAGATGTCTGATACTATGCATCCAGTACACAGGGACACACTCTGTCTTGACTTTTATCCTTGCTTGCACTCCTGTTGTTGTTTCAAAACACAAGCAAACCAACTTGAAGGGCTTATTTGGCTAATAACTTACAGTCCATGTTGAGGGAAATCCATACAGGAGTTCAAGGCAAGAACCCAACCAGAGACCCTAGACAGATTTTAGGACATAGTTTGACCACATCTTCAGGGAGTGGCATTCCTCTCCCTAAGGCTGTAAGGGGTTGTAACAAATTGATGAGACAGACAGGAAAACATCTGATCTTGCTATTTCTTAAGAAGGAAATCTGGAGTGCCAACCAACTTGGAAAGGAACATAGAGATGCCTGCAGTCTTCCACAGTTTCTAGAGAATAGTTGGGTCAAATGACGTTCCCTGGCCTCAGATATTTTCTGAAGGAAAATAGCACCATTGTGCTTTGTGTGACCTTGAAGATGCTGGGCTGTGAATAGGCTTCCATGCTGAAATGCAAACT